CGTCACCGGCGCCGAAGCTGCCGGTGAAGTTGGACGTGAAGAAATCGCGGCGCAAATGCTTCTGGTTCCTGTGACCGCGGTGCCCGGCGAGCCTGGAGCGCGGGGGCACCGTCCCAGCACTGACCCCCTGCCCACCTCTCCTCCCTCCCTCCTACGGTAGGGTTTGGGTAGCACCAGCTTTTCTATTTTTAACCATTCCGTTCGAGGCGGGAGCCCGGGTGTGGAGGGGAGCTGTGGCTGTATTTAAGGAGAATTCAATAAATTCCACAGAGACGCTATTTTTGTTACATCCTCTCCTGCCTGTGCTCTTCTGTTCTGGAGGAGGAGGAGGATGAGGAGGGGGCAGCAGCCATTCCCCCGGACTCCCCTCTACTTGAGGCTCCCCCAGGGCCCCTGGCAGTCCCCACGCCTCCAAGCCTGCCCCAGCTCAAACCAGAGCCTGTCCCTGCACCCTACAGAGGGGCCTGCTGGCCCACCCCCATTGCTGCCTGCAGGTTAACCAGGAGCACTGAGGATTTCCACTGGTCAGAGGCGGTGGAAAACAGTCTCTGTGGGACCCCACCCTGGAGAGGAGGATTTTGTCTCCAAAATCCCTGTGTGGAAGGGTGGGCTGGGCAGGGGTCCCATGGGTAGGGAAGAGGTGCTGATGACAGGGAAACAGGAATGAGCAGCTCAAATATTCCAGCCTCTCTGGGGCTGCCACGAGAGGGGAAACTCGGTGTTGGTTTAACAAGGGGCAGGGAGCAGCAGTGGGTGTCTGACATATCCCAAAAATGCAGCAGTCAGTGCTCCCCATGCTGTGCTGATTCCTGACACTGTGGAGCCACTGGTGAGAGCTCCTCAAAGCCCAGGGCACCTGGGTGCCCACCTCAGCATCTGGGAGCCTGCCAGGGCCTGCCACCTCAGTGTAGCAGGAGCAGTCATGGCTTTCCCAGGGGGCCACTGCCCTTGGGGAAGGGGACATCTCCTGATCTCCTCCAAAAGTACCGGGCACCCCTGGCCATGGCAAGCAGCTGCTGCAGCCACAGAGGGGAGTGGAGGGTGGGCAGGTTTGGCCACCACTCTCCAGTTGGTGCCCACACCGCAGCACCCCAAAGCAGGAGATGCACACGTGCAGGAGATGGCCCGGTGTCAAACCCCATCCCTGGTGCTGGGGACCCCCTTTGTACTCAAGGGGCTGCAGCCAGGACAGTGACCCTGAGGTGCAACTCCCTTCTTGCCCAGCAGCAACTGGATGGACAGGTGCTGTCCTGGTGTGGGCACATGCATCTCCAGTCCCCTTGGCCCTTCCCAGCCACTGGAGCTGCTTGGGCTGACGGTCTGGGATCCCTGACTGAGGGCAGGGGCTGTGGCAGCGGCACAGGAACCATGGATGGTGCTGGGAGAGCTGCCAGACGGCACTTGAGGAGCCCCGAGTGAGCGGCAGGAGCACGGCACAGCCCAAGGACCCGTCCCTGCAGCCCCCCATC